TAAATAGGTCGATGCCAGTTTTCATCTCCCAGATTGACCTCCTCCAGCGGATTTTGGACCGGAGCCAGGCTGTCATCAAGCTTTGCCGGCGCAGGTTCAAGTTCTTCGATCTGGATTACCTCCTCGGATGTATCTGTTTTTATTGAAATTTCCACCTGGCCAATCCATTTTAGGGTTGCCATTTGTCTTTCTAGAGCGTATATCTTGAGTTTCTTGGTCAAAGCCTTGTAGGCCATGACCCTTCTGTTGGTGCTTTCAGGGGCTTGATCTATTCGTGGTTTGAGGATCGGGGATGAACCTTGCCGGCCTTAAAGAGCTTGGCCTGACGAGGTCGAGCCATATATATGCATGCCTTCGTCTATCTTCTTCTTGTCCTAAGTCACATTATTAGGTTTACCATACTAGCTCTGTCCCAAAAAACGTACGGGGCCCACATTCTCTTGGTACAAGAATGCCTCCTGGGCGTGCACCTTAACAATGAGTGGCTCCTCATCTGCCCAGATGATTTCAGCATCGTTTCCATTCCAAAACACCAAAAGTTGGTGCAAGGATGATGGGACTACCATCCAAGCGTGGATCCAGTCTCTCCCTACCAAGACCTTGTAGCTGGCAGCGGCCTTTACCACGAAGAATGCTGTTAGCGCGGTTTTGCTGCCAACTGTCATGTCTGCGGGGAATACCCCCATTGTTTTAGAGATTCCTCCTGTGAAATTAATGATGCATAAATCTGTGGGCAGCAAATCATCTTTGTTCTTCCCGAGTCGGTTCAGAACGGACCATGGCAAGATGTTAACTGCGGCCCCGCCATCGACCAATACCCAAGACACCGGAACTCCCTCGAGATGTACCTTTCTATTATATAGATAGAGCGGCTTCAGGTGCATAGTCATAGCAAAGGGGGGTCGATCTATGAGGACCCGAGCTGAGCTAACTGGTCGAAGGAAGCTCATGTCTTGGTTCTTTTGGATGATGGTAATCATGGGACTTCCTTTGATCCAAGCGACGGGCTCAATTTGCTCCCTTTGTTGTTTGCCGAAAGACTCACCAGCCTTGTTCTCTTTGGGTTGGTCATCTCCCCCATCCTCTATCTTAGACACGATTTGTCCTGGTTGTTCTGCCAAGCATAGCGCACCCCCCTGGATCTGCTGGGGTTTCCCGGTCTTTGCCCCGAAAGCCAAAAGCAAAGTGAACACCATATTGCATGGTAGGACGCTTGGTGGCAAAGAGCCAAACTGAATGTGTTGTAGTTTCTCTTTTTATAAATAAGGCTTCTCGCGGGTTGCTCCTTTTCTTTGCCATCTGCTTTTTTGGCTTCTTGACGGCCCGTGCCTCTCCGCTTTTTGAGTCTTCTCGGACGTGACAGATCCAAGATGAAAGATGATCGGGGCTTTCTCCTTTTCTTTCATGATTGAGCCGATAAGAGCAGAGAATGAGAAAGTCAACCGTAAAAAGGAATTTCAAAGGAAATTCTGTCGAAGCGGGTGAAATGCGGACCTTTTATAAGTTCAAAGGTAAGAATATTAAGAAGTCATGTGACCATGCAGGCGGGCCTGGACTCTTTTCTTTCTCCTCCGGCGAATGATTTCACTTTTCTGGCCCTCAACCAAAGACTAAAAACTCACCCAAGCCTTTGGGTAAGGCTAAGTAGGGTAGGAAACTCTTTCTTGCGGATTTCACAGTTCACGTGTCCCCGCATTTAAGTCTGAAACGGGTGCTAGCTTGAAAACCGCCACAGTTAGCTGTCGGTTGAGGCCTCACCGGGCTTTCATAAATAAGTATCTCTTATGAATAGTAGGGCAATGAGGGAGAACTTATCGACGACAAAAAAGACGAGGTTTCTGTTGGAGGGTCCCTGCCGCCCCGAGTCAAATGGAATTTAAAAATACTTGTTTTTTATTAAAAAAAAAAAAGGTGGCATCTCGAAAGTGCCGCTAGGCGGTTTAATCATGGAACGCCCAAAAAGCCTGGTAAAATGCGAACATTATTATTCTAAAAAGATGCCCTAGAACATACATGTTATTGAATTGAGTGAGAGGTCCCTTTCTTTCCTACTACTGAACCCGGAAATTGCGTAGATTGCTTTGCTTGGAATTCCCTAAGTAACCAAACCAATCCCTGTCATTTCACACGGAAAATGGTATGTTTTGAGCGTTTGAAGTGGACGAACAATCAGCGTACGTAATCGAGTTTCATGCCATCATGTCTTTCTGCCCAGCAGCGCCGGAAACCGCTTTCATGCGTCTTGGTTGTTGGTAGAGGCCTGAAAAGATTCTATTTGAAATAGTTTCAAAGGCTTGAAGGAGCGTAGCTTTATTCAAAAGGAATTGATAGGAATACTAATATCTCTCCGATTATCTCCGACAATAAGAGGTAAGAAAAAAGGCTGTTTAAGTTTATGAATAGCCGTTCCAATGCGCGGAATCGAAAAAAGACTATCTATCTTTCCGGATCATAGATCAGATCAGAGAATTCCCTCTTTCAAGCTTCCTTACAGGAAAAG